GCTGTTTGTCCCTCTGGGACTCACAAAACCAAGGCGGCAAGAGACTTGTTGATACTGTTACCATACATTAACCAATCACCCCAGTGGTAGTATATACGTTTTTTAAAGATCTATCTCAAATGTTTCTCAGGCTGGCCTCAAACTTCTGGGTTCACACAATCTTCCTTTTTCAGCCTCCCAAGTAACTGGGATCACAGACATATGTCACCATGTCCAATCATCCCACTTCTAGCAGGCTTCTCTTCCACCTTCAAACCCCTTCCCTGAAACCACAAGACTCCGAAAGGAAGGATGGCGTAGTTTCCTCCCTCACACAGCCCAGCTGGCCCTCCCACCAGGATGACTGCAGAACTAGATGTATCCTGATTAAATCCACTCTTTCCCACTCCCCACTCTTCCACACCACTTTTTTTTTTTCTTTTTCTTTTTGAGACAGAGTTTCTCTGTGTAGCCTTGGCTGTTCTGGAATTCACTCTGTAGCCCAGGCTGTCCTTGAACCCAAAGATCTTCCTGCCTCTGCCTCCTGAGTGCTGGGATTAAAGGCGTGCACCACTACCTCCTGGCTTCGCCAAAACTTTTATTAGGCTTCTCAAACCACCCGAGCCTTTCACCATTAAATCCATCCTTTAATGAAGACAGTAGTGGGGGGCCTCAGGTCTGTCTCAGAGATCAAAACCTTCACAACACCCTATAACTATAAATTGTTTCACCTTGTAAAAGTGGCCTGTCATATGGTATCCCATTGGACCCCCAGAAGGAAAATATAAAAACTGCTAGAATGATTGGACCATGGTAGGAAGTTGGCCTGATAGAGAGCATAAGCCAGAGCTTGGGAGTCCAGAATCAGGGCATGAGGATGCTGACTTCTCTGAGCTTGCATTTCCTTGTGTAATGGGACTGATAGCAGCTCATATTCATGCTGTATGGGCATCATGATCATCATGATTCTCAAGCTGAATGTGAGAGAAGAGTTTTAGGATGCTTCTGCTAAATACTCATGCTACATACATCACCTTCCTGGAATTTTACTTGAGGATTTGGGAGGAAGGGAGTTTTATAATAAAACTTGGACTTATTATGCAGCAAAATGCAAACCTTGTATGTATTTAAAGATTTATAAAAGGAGTTTTGAAAGATGTCATGTTTCTAGTGGGCTGCTTCTGGCTACACCCCCAGATCCCTGGGGATTGGACATGTGATCACGCCCTAGTGTGCCATGTTGGGAAAGTGAGAGCAATGGTGACCGTGGGAGGGAGGAGAAGGTGCCTGGTGTGCAGTAGGCAGTCAGTAAATGGTGGCTCGTGTTAGGGCAGCCGCTACATCCTCCCAGAGGAAACAGGCCCACACAGATGCTGGCTCTGCTTGAACTCGCTGAGCTAGAAAGTGAACGAAGCCAGGACTGGAAGCGACGGCTCACTCCCACCCCACCTCTTCCTCACAGGCAAGGCTTTCTGGTCAGCAAGCTCCTTCCTCATTTCTTAGCACTCCATTTTGGCAAGGAGGCCGGTTCCTGGGTTCTAGTAATTCCTCTGCAAGACAAGCACCTGTGGGACAAGGCTTCAAACAAGACACACACGAGCAAATCCCTGCCCTTCGAAGAGCAGACGCAGGACTGCTGAGTTGGGGGGAGGAGGTAGAATGGTCCAGGGTGTGAGATGTTGTCAGAATTGAGTGGAAGCCGGAGTAATGGCCTTGAGGCCGGAGATAACGCCCACAGATACCTCCATTAACCTGCAGCTTATTTAAGAGGACAGGCCTTCAGCTTTGCATCTCATCTTCAAGCCTTAGGTTTCTCGATCCAGATCACAACCAAGAATGCCTTGGGCTTTGTCTTTGTCAGCTAGTAAGGAGTACATGGGAGTACAAGGGTAGCTAGAGGGTCTTAAGGAGCCTGTTCATAAGCCTGGCAGGCTGCCCTCCCTTCCCTGGTCCTGTGTAAAGGGTTGATTGTGATTAGTCTGCCTCCCTAAGTGAGAAAATTAGGTCCCAAGTGAGTAAATCCAGTACCTAAATTTGGCCCAATTCTCCCCATGCCAAGGAATCTGATGAGGAGCGTCAAACTCAAGCTGTACTCATTTCAACAGTCCAGAAAGAGGAATTGTTTCCCCATTGCACGGATGAAAAACAAAACAATACACAGAAGCCTTTTTCTCAGGCCTCCTGAGGCCTTGGTAGGAATGCAGATTTGGCCTTTAATCCCAGCACTTGGGAGGCAGAGCCTGGCGGATCTTTGTGAGTTCAAGGCCAGCCTGGTCTACAGAGTGAGATCCAGGAAAGGCGCAAAGCTACACAGAGAAACCCTGTCTTGAAAAACAAAAAACAAAACAAAACAAAAATGCAGATTTGTAGTTCCATCCCTGGCTTACTCAAGATGTCCCTGTGGTAGACCTCAGACTCAGCACCAAGGGTGGCCTCCAAGTGATTCTGATATTCACAAAGTTCAAAAACCTCACAGAGCAATTCAGTTACCTGCCCACTCTGTGGCAGAGCTGGTTTCGGCACTGAGCCTTCTGATACTAAATCTCGGGCTCCTTTCAGACGACTGGAGATGCTAGAATGACCTTTTCTCTGCCTGTCTCAGTACCTGCCACACTGGCTCACAATACATTTTCATTGGGTAGGTGGGTGAGTAGTGAATGCTTGGATGAAAGACCTCAAACTGCTTCTCGTGGGGTGGAGTCGGGGTGAATTCTTTACACTAGCAGGGAAGGGCTTCCCTGATACAGAGATGCTGACCTGGACTTGTTACTTTTAGAAAAGCCACTGGCAGAAGATTCGTACCATGGTCAATCTGCCGGTCATAAGTCCTTTCAAAAAGCGCTACTCCTGGGTGCAGTTGGCAGGGCACACAGGTGAGCATCAGTGCAGGTGGGTGAGGTGGTTGTGACAGGAAGGAGCTGGGCAGTTCTAACCCGTGCCCTTCTGCAGGGAGTTTCAAAGCTGCAGGCACCAGCGGCCTGATTCTGAAGCGTAGCTCAGAGCCAGAACACTACTGCCTGGTGCGGCTGATGGCTGACGTGCTGCGCGGGTGTGTTCCCGCCTTCCATGGTGTGGTGGAGCGGGATGGTGAAAGCTACTTGCAGTTACAGGACCTGCTCGATGGCTTTGATGGGCCCTGCGTGCTTGACTGCAAGATGGGTGTCAGGTTTGTGTCCCCTCTCTGGGTCGGGCAGGATCGGAGGGGGAACCAAGGAGCTGGGATAAAAGCTCACACGGGGGTCCCTATACGCACGCTTCCTGCGCTGGCCCCTACCTGCACCTCACAGAACCTACCTGGAGGAGGAGCTGACCAAAGCCCGAGAGAGGCCCAAGCTGCGGAAGGACATGTACAAGAAGATGCTGGCGGTGGACCCAGAGGCACCTACTGAGGAGGAGCATGCACAGCGCGCGGTCACCAAACCGCGCTACATGCAGTGGCGCGAAGGCATCAGCTCCAGCACTACGCTCGGCTTCCGCATCGAGGGCATCAAGGTGGGTCAGGCTTCCCTGGCTCCGTACAGCTTTTCTTCTGCCCGGACTTCAGCGCTTGCGTGTCCTTCCTTTCCTGACCTCCTGCCTCACCTGCCACCAGGAGACGCCCTCTGGTGGCCGTCTCTTGGTCCCCAGAGGTTAAGGCCCCAGGGAGGTACCACTGCCCTTTGCATGATCCTCTCTCCCCTCAGATGGGCCCGGGTCCCTGACACTCCTTGCCCACCTCCTTCAGAAAGCCGACGGATCGTGCAGCACTGACTTCAAAACTACACGAAGCCGCGAGCAGGTGACTCGTGTCTTTGAGGAGTTCATGCAAGGAGATGCTGAAGTGCTGGTGAGAGTGCAGGTCCCCAGAACCCTGAGGTTTGGGGGCACCTGTTTACAAGGGTGCCTCCTGGTTATTCTCTTTGCCGTCCTTACCTATGCCATCCCCCGACCCCCCCATCCCCCCGTGGTCGCGCTTCCCTTAGTGTACTAGAATTGTTTTCCCTCCTCTCCTGTGGGAGCCACGTTTGGGGGTGGGGGCGGCTTGTGTCTTCCTCGGCACAGTAATTTGGCAAGCTGAAGTGCATGGTGCTTCTCAGTGTCCCTTGGTGGGAAATTAATTTCTCCACACTAACCCTTCCTTCCAGAGGAGGTATCTGAACCGCCTACAGCAGATCCGGGACACCCTGGAGATCTCGGATTTCTTTAGAAGGCACGAGGTAAGAGGTGGGTGGGCTCGGGGGCGGGGTTTGTGCTTCATGAAAGAGAATGGGAAGGGGGTGCTCTCTGGGAGAAGCAGGTGGCCTGACTGCCCTGGGGGTCGGCAGGTGATTGGCAGCTCACTCCTCTTCGTGCATGACCATTGCCACCGCGCCGGAGTCTGGCTCATCGATTTTGGCAAGACCACGCCCCTCCCCGATGGCCAGATCCTGGATCATCGGAGGCCCTGGGAGGAGGGCAACCGTGAGGACGGCTATTTGCTGGGGCTGGACAATCTCATTGGCATCTTGGCCAGCCTGGCTGAGAGATGAGGCTGGGCCCTTGTCCCCCCACTTGGGCCGGCTGGTCAGATAGATGTGGACCTGTGGCTGCATTCCCACCATGCATGCCGGCAAGAGACTGGAACCCCGCTGGGCGGGCAGTTCACATGGTCCTGCAGGACCAGGCGCCATCCACTAAGGGGGTATCCTACCAATACCAGGAGTTGGCCTCCACACAAGCCTGTTTCCCAGAGCCAAATGACACTAGTTTACAGGAGGGGAAGGAGACAATGGGCTTCTCCCTCAGCCCAGCTCTTCTCAAGTGGCTTTGCACCTCCCTAGAGGGGCCAGATCCAGAATTTCATTTCCTAAGTGTATAGACTTCCTGGTCTACCCTCCTACACTACAGTGGACACCCTTCCTAATAAAACTCAAAGACACAGCTTCTGTGACTCAAGCCTCATCCCCTCCTCCTCTGGTCCTCTCTTCCTTAGTTCCAGACTCTTTCAAGTTCACTCAGAGAAGTGGAGAATGAGACGAGTTTGTTGTTGTGGTGGTGGTGGTGGTTTTGTTTTTAATTATTATTAGAAACATCTGTGGCACTGGGGATGGGCCAGATGAAAGATGCTTATGGGAGAGGACAATCTGGGATTCCCAACCGAGTCCTGCAGTGGGTGGGTGTGTGATCTCTGGCTCCAAAGACAGAGAGTGGCCAGGTCCTTCCCCAAGAGGGTTTGGACTGGTTTCCAGTGTGGAGAGGCCAGGCTTCCAGGACAGCCCTGACACATATCTGACCGCCTGGTCATAGACTGCAGGGCAGAGGCTACTGGACTAACAACCCATCTAGATGCCTGGGAAGGAATGCAAGGAGAAGCCATTGCTGAAGTCAGTGCCTGAGTCTCCATCCTTGGGGTCCCTTGGGGTCCAAGAGCCATAGGTGGGGTTCCAAGTGCTCTGAGGTCGGAAGCATCTGGATTTGAGGGCCTTGAGGCCAGAGGGCAGCCAAGAGGCAAGAAGGCCTCCTTCCCAGCTTTTCAAGTTCTCTGAACTCAGCTCCAGGGCCTGTGGGGATCTAAGACCCTCCAAGGACCTGTTCCCCAGCACAGAAGCCCGTTCCTCCTCTAGAATGGGCCCTGGTTCCACTGGCAGGGGTGAATTCAGCACATCAGGATCCTATAAAGGGAGAGTGAGGGAACAGGGAACAGGCTTTCTTCCTGACCTACAGAACCAGGAGAGTTGGAGGGGATCAGAGGGATATTCAAGAGTTGGGGGGCAGAGGCACACCTGAGTGCAGTATTGAAGGCGCTCCAAGATGCTGGCAAAGTCAGGGCGGAGCTCAGGTTGATGCTGCCAACACTGGGTCATGATCCTGTACCTAGAGAGAGGCAGGAGGTTACGCCCCCTAAAATCTTGAGGGACCTCCCTCCCTGGGAGGCACTGTTAACTCACACTGGCCCAGGGCAGTTCCTAGGAGGGTCCATCCGGCTCCCTGTGACAATGAAGTCTAGGACCTCCTGGTTGGTATGGCCAGGGTAGGGCATATAACCCAGTGAGAAGATCTCCCAGAGCAGCACCCCGAAAGACCTGTACCACAGGTGGGAGGGACAAAGGAAACCCATCAAATACAGCCTCCTCTGCTCTCCCATGAGGTGGCCTGAAAGGTTAGGATTGGCCTCAGGGCAGGGGAGGGGACTGCAAGAGGGCCATGCTATCTGTCACCAGGAGTCTGTCTTGGATGTGAAAATGCCCTCCAGGAGAGCTTCTGGGGGCATCCACTTGACGGGGAGCAAGGCCCGGCCCCCCTTACGGTAATAACTGGCCCTGTAGGAAGGAGAGAGAGTGTGTGATGAGTTTTTCAAATGCCGTCCGGCGAGTCCCGTCCTTGGAGCAACAGCTTTCCCACCTGCCCGGTTCCTGCTTACCGGTAGATGTCTCTTGCCATTCCAAAGTCTCCAATCTTAGCCACTCGGCCGGGGCCAGCGCAGCTCAGCAGACAGTTACGGGCGGCGATGTCTCTGTAGAAGAGACCGAACGACCGCTGTGAGAACTCAGTTGCTCTGGTTCTTCCTCATACGTTGCTTTCAAAGTTGGATATGGGGGGTGTTCCTTGAGGGGACACATGGGGCCGAGGGTCTCCTGAGTCAGGACGGCTTCCAACCTGTGGATGAAGTGGTTTTCCTCCAGGTAGTGGCAGCCCTGGGCGATATCCTGGGCCAGCTGCAACAAGTCCTGCATGGCCAGAAGTGATGGCTGGCCCTGGATTGGCAGAAGGCACATAAGTTGATCCTGGTCTTAGGACAAACGGTCAGGGTCTTAGAAGCTCAGAGAAGGGTCTTACCGGGTGTGGTCTGCTCTGTCTCAGAAAACTCTTCATATCCCCACCAGACATCAGCTCCAGCAGAATAAGGCGAGGGGCAGCCTGGAAGCTGAGGCCCACACAGCGAACGATGTTCTGATGGCTGAACTTGCTGGGTGGGAACGGTGCGCATGCCCCGTCACCAGTGGAGAGATGAGCATGTTCTAGACCCCATTAAACTACCAGAAACCTCTGTGCCCTAGAACGCTGCCTCTCAGCCCTAAAGACAGGAGAGGCCGTTCCTGTGGGCAGGTCCTGCCTCCCAACACACCCTCTTGCCTGCCCTCAGGGGCACCTGATGATGAGAGCCTCCATGAGAAAGTCCAACTCGTCCTGATGGGAGCAGAGCTCTGGCAGCGTCTGGGAAGGGAAAGTAGAACTCTCCTGAGCTTTGGCTGGGTGCTTTAGGAGGGTGATTAACAAGGGCTCCAGTCCATCCCTCCATGGTGTCTACCCCAACCAGAAGTCCTACCCCTTCTCACCTTGATAGCCACCTGCAGAGGGCTGGAGTCCCCAGGAAGACCAACTACTAGTCCCTCATACACCTCCCCAAAGGCACCATGGCCAAGGGCTCTAGAAGAAAACAAGTGGAAGGGAGTGGGTGGTACAGACAAGGTCTATAGAGGGAGTGGTGCCCCTTCATCTCCTCAGTTCCCACGCCGTGTCCAGATGACCCTCCCTGAGCTCTCTCTGGCTGTTCTCAGGCACAAGCTTGCAAAGATAATGCTGACACACAGAAGAAAGGGCAGGTAAGGGCCGAGTCAGGATGCTAATGTGGGATAAGCCCTCTCCTCACGCTAACGCAGACCCTCCTGGAAAAGGGCATCCAGACAGTCATGTTCCGTTCCCAGGTCTCTGAAGCCCAGAACTGGGGCAAAAGCTGACCCTTTACACGTTACTTTCAGAGCTTGTGGGGTTTCCATCTCCTCTGTATAAGGGATTTGAGTCGCATGCTCTCTGGGATTCATAACACACCGTGACAGGAAAAAGGATGGAGAAGGGGGTTCAGGGTGGGTATGACCAGAAGGAGCGAGAGAACTCACCTGAGTAGAGTGACGTTGGCCGGGGAAACCTCAGTGAGCCCCGGGGGCAGAGGCCAGGACTGAGCAGGGCTGAACCCCACCTGGCAGTAATAGGGATTAGGGGCTGTCCTGATGGCAGAGGTTCGAAGCTTGCTCAGCTCAAGCTCAGGGCCTGGCAGCCTGGTCCCCCACAGGTTCTGCCACTTCTTCTGGTTCACTGGGGGTAAGAAGAACAGAGGCATACCCTCTGTCTGCACCACTAGGCCCCTCTGCTTCCCCGTGCCCAGAACACCTTTCTAAAAGTCTTTTCAAATACACATTTTCCCCATAACTCCCCAGCTTCTACTCCTAAAAGTCTCGGGGAGTCTATCATTTTCTGTGGGAGTAAGCACCCTGGAGTCAGCTACACTTGCCCTGGAACCACAAAGAAACCCATCACAGCCTAGCGGAGAAGGGCCAGCCTGCACCAGCCACACCTGCTAGATGCCCATACCTAGAATTAGGACTCCACACGTCATAAGGAGGCTCAGTGTCAAGGCTGCCACTATGGCTCCCATCAGCATCAGAGGGCTTGCCGTGGTTGGCAGGTCTAGGGAGAAGCACAGTCATCTCCAGCAGGCAGCAGGAGGGCTCCATTGTCCCTCTGCCCTCAAGTTTTTTTTTTTTTTAATTTGTTTTGTGGGAGTTTTGTTTGTTTGTTTTTGAGACAGGGTCTCCCAGTATGATGCAGGCTAGCCTCAGACTCTCAATTCTGCTTTAGCCTGCCCACTGCTGGGATTACAGATGTGTTCTACCATGTCTGGGTACCCTTAAATCTTACCCATGCTCCAAGACTCAGCTCAGTGTTTACTTTTCCATGATGCCACCCACCTAGACAAAAGCAACTCTCCCTCCCGAGAACCCCTTAACTCTTTGATACCTTCCATAGCAACTGCCATTTTTAGATACAGATCTATATCTAAATATCCATCTTGCCTCCCACACTGGCCTACATGTTCTTGACAGCGGAATGTACCGTGATGCATTTCCAACCCTCTACCCGGCACTCTGTACAGTGCCTGGCACACAACAGGCCTTTACATTGTCTTTCCCAGTGCCCCACTGCTCCTACCAGCCTGTGACCCAGCAGTCAGACTGAGGGCAAAGACGAGACATACCCATGCAAGTGACGTTATCCACAGCCAGCTCCATGCCCTCTGGGCAGATGCATTCAGCCATCTGGAGCTCTGGCCGCCACTGGCAGTCTTTGAAAGAGCAGTGACTGCAGTTGACATGCTTTCGGATCTCCACCTCCCCGTGGCCCTCTGTGACTGTGAGCCAAAGAGTAGACAAGGCGGGGTGGGGTGGGGATGGGACATGCGGGACCTTCTAGCCACCTGGTTAATTCTTGCTCGGGAGTTTAGGGTAAGCAGCAGTACCAACCACACCAACACACCGGGTGATGACAGAGCCTGGGGACCTTTTGTCCTTCCATTGATTGATTTTATTCAGAGACAGAGAGAGGCATGCATGCACATGCTTGTGGATGTCAGAATTCAGCTTTCTCCTTCCACCATGGGATCTGAGCAATAAACTCAGGTCATCAGGCTTATGAGGCAAGGGTTTTATCAGCTAAGCCAGCTTGGTGGCCCAGCCTAGGGGACCTCAGTCAAGCTCACAGATACTTCTCAGATGTCCCTGTGCCATTTGTGAACTGGGTATCTCAGCTCAGAGCACATGGTACCTATGGTTGTGGGCCCAGGGATGGAGGAGGATGGCTGGCCAGGCTGAGAGGTGGGGGTTTGGGGCGAATACCTGCCAGAGGCTGCAGGTAGAGCTCGCTGCTGGGGTGTACAAAGGATATGCCATCTTCCCCGTCAGCCCAGAGGATGTCGGACTCTGAAGTATCACCACCTTGAAATTGAGAGTGATAGTGGTTTAACTACCAAAAGGGGCAGAGGGGCCGGGGGGAGCACGCAGCTGCCTTGCAGTTGGGGAGCTGGTTTATGAACAGCAGGACAGCTATGATCTCCCACTGTAAATCCTATGCGGCCTTCTCCACAACGACACTGCCTTACATGTGCAGAGGGGCTACAGAAGTGGGGTTTGGCTGTTCTGCTGAAACCCAAAGATCTGGCATAGCCTGGCTGGGACACCCTTTGTGTGAGCCCTGCAGACCCACATACTCAGCTGAGAAGTTCAGCCCACAAATTCCATTTCTGTGTGAACAAAGACATGCGTTGTAAAGTATTTATGAACTGTCCAGTCCTGATAGACCAGGGGTTCCACTTCTTTACATCAATGTCCCCAAACTCTGGACCATTAGGACCAATTAACAGATACCCAACACCCTCCCCTGGAGTCATAGATTCTGGAGACTGGCCGTGCATTTCTCTTTAAAATTAAACATAGTAATTAATTTTTAATTAAAAAACAAAAGTGTATTTATTGTATACAATATGATACTTTGAAATGTGCATGCATTGTACAATCACTTAAGCCAGTCAACATATGTACCATTTTTTGTTTATAGTAAGAATAACTCAAATCTACTCTTAGCCATTTTGTTATTGGGACTAGAGAGGTAGCCTAGTGGTAGAGCACTTCCCTAGCATCCCAAGGCCCTGGGTTTGATCCACAGGCTGTGCTTTATCCACTACACTGACAGAACCAAAAACATTGTTATTAATTGTGGTCGTCATATTGAACTAAAGATAACTTAAATTTATTCCTTCTATCTAATAAAATTTCTTTTTAATGTTTGACCATCATCATCCCAGCTTCCAACCCTGAATTTGTATTTTTTTTTTAATTCAGCCACCTACTTTTCTTTTCTTTCTTTTTTTAAAAATTTCTTTATTATGTACACAGTGTTCTATCTGCACAGCCAGAAGAGGGCGCCAGATCTCATTACAGATGGTTGTGAGCCACCCTGTGGTTGCTGGGAACTGAACTCAGGACGTCTGGAAGAGCAGTCAGTGCTCTTAACCTCTGAGCCATCTCTCCACACACACACACACACACACACACACACACACACCCGCCGAATTGGTAGTTCTAACAACTTCTGTGATAACCACAGTTTGAGAATTGCCGTCTTTGCCCTTCCTGGCTTAGCTTGCCAACAAGGCCGGCTCTAAATTCCTTCGACTTTGGCAGAGTAAGGATTTGATTTGATTTGCACTTGATTTGAGCTTTTCTTTTTTGTTTTTAAGTCAGGGTTTCGCCGTGGGACCCTGGACGGCCTGGAATTTACATAGATCTGTCTGTTTCTGCTTCCCAAGTCCTAGGATTAAAGGAACGTGCCACCAAGCCTGGCTAATCTGGCCCTTTGTAAAAGACAAAACCAGCCTGTAGCGCAGCCTGTCCTCAAACTCTCTCTGTCGCTACTTTGCTTGAAATCCTTCTGCCTCCACCACGCACGTGCGGGAGTGTGCCACCACGCCCAGGTCTAACCTTTCTAAGAGCACCTACTGGGGCTTGGCACAGGGGAGAGTGGAGCATTCCCCATCTATCCTCCGGAAGGCTCAGGCCAAGGCCAGGTTCTTGGGCTCTACCCTCACATCACCCACCTACCCCGGTAGCCGCCGCCGCCGGCGCAAAGACTGTCTCCGCCAGCGCCAGCGCCCCGCCCGCCGCGCAGGCCCCGCCCCACACAGGGCCCGCCCCTCACAGACACCGCCCCACCCCGCCCCGCTGCACGCAGACCACGCCCTTCGCGGACCACGCCCCTCCTGATAGGTCACGTCCCACATAGACCCC